TATTCATTGTTACATTGTTTTTTTTAAAAAAAAATAAAATTTGGGTAAGATTATAGAAAGGGGAAAAAAAAGCATCCAAAGGAATCTTAAATATAAAAGGTAAGAAAGAAAAGAAAGTGTTGAAAACGCTTTATTTAGTAACATAATAATAATAAATACATAAAAGGGTAACAGAAAAATTGGTGTTATTGATATATCCATTGAATTGAGAACAAATTGCCTTGTAAGTTTATTAATATTATCACATAGCAAAGGAAGGGAAGGAAATTTAGGTCAGCGTTGTTGATTATTTGTGTGGGTTAATACGTTGTTTGTGCTTTTAGGCTCTTAGAGAAGAGCGCTTGAAAAAGGGTTATCCCTTCTGAGCCTCTCCATTTCAAACGCCCCCATATCATGACTTCCGCTACTCACGATCTCCTCTCCGCCCCACATTTCAAGGATCTCGCCATTAAACTCTTCGGCCGCACCATCCCTTTGCCGGAATCCAACATTTCCGCCGCCCTGCAAAATCTGGTATCTATTTTCTTTCTATCTTCTCCGTTTTCTATTTTCCTTCCCTCTCTTCTTTCCTTCTGCCTTTAATCTCACTGTTTACTTATTGTTTCTGTGGGACATTCGAAATATTGAAAATGCTGATTGCACTCTCCTGTTCATATTCTTCATCTTCTTCTTCCCCATTTGGGGCCCTATTGAATCTGAACGTGATTTTGTTTCGATTTCTCCATTTTGTGTTGTACCTGCCTTCATTTGTTCATTTCTCCCTGTTTACTTTCCTTGTCATTCATAAATTTAAGTCTTCCCTTATTTGGAAACATTGTATTCAGGATGGTTGCAACCATTTGAAAGAAGGTGAGCAGTGTGTGTCGGGTGCAGAAGAGTCGAGGTCGAGCGTTTTAGTAGGCGATGATGAAGAAAAGCAAGCGTCCAAGGAGGATGAAGAATTGGAGGTGCATTTGAAAGAGGAGCAGGGAGATGGTAATGAAGAAAGAGTTTTGAAGAAGCCGGACAAAATCATTCCTTGTCCTAGATGTAACAGTTTAGAAACTAAGTTCTGTTACTTCAACAACTACAATGTCAATCAACCTAGGCATTTCTGCAAGAACTGCCAAAGATATTGGACTGCTGGTGGCACCATGAGAAACGTTCCTATCGGTGCAGGACGACGAAGGAACAAGCAATTGGCATCTCAATACCGACACATAATAGTATCATCCTCCGAGGGACTTGCGACGTCTCGGTTCGAAGCATCGGATTCAACGAATCACCATCAATTCATATCAGGCCTTGAGTCTCCTGCTTTCAGGCCTTCCAATGCCAGTGCCACTCTTCTAAAGTTTGGACCTGAAGCACCACTTTGTGAATCCATGGAGACCGTGCTCACTCTTGAAGACCAGAAGAGGTCCATTGAGATTGGCTCTGCATATAGCAGAGACAGTCCTGATGAACCATCCTCCTGTGGATCCTCCATGACAACGAATGAATTCCCTAAAACTGTCGTCGAGAGGGAAGCAGCCAGATTGTCGGGTTCAAGTAATGAGAACACTTCACCCAACATGGTTCGTTGTTACCCCGTTCCACAATTGGTTTTTCCATTGAATCAGGGTGGGAACGGTGTAGTTTCATCAGCAATGGCTAAAGGTTCAGATAGCACGAGTGTATCCAATCCAGTTCAATGGCTGCCTACGACAATGCTGGCAGTTCCAGGTTATTGCACGCCTAGCCTTCCGTTACAATTTGTGCCAGCATCATATTGGGGCTGCACGCCTGTATGGACCGCAGCTGGTGTCCGTGCATCTCAAACATCCGCAGCTACCATCGGCAGCTGTGCCATGAGTTCGTCACCGACACTGGGAAAGCATTCGAGAGATGCAAGTAGCTTGACAGAGGAAGAGGAATCAGAGAAATGCGTGGTGGTACCAAAGACAGTACGGGTTGATAAGGTGAGCGAAGGGTCGAGGAGTCCCATATGGACGACATTTGAAACTACAGAAAGTAATGCAGATGGCAAAGAGCATTACAGGGAGGCTCCTCATCTCTTGGAAGCACAAACTGGAAGCTCTTACTTGTAGATTTTCCTTCAGACCACATAAAGTGTAATTCTTTTTTAAAGCTGTTCATATATCTCTGAAAGCTTTGCCAGAAATTTGGTACATATTATGATGTTTTTGGGTCACACAGTTGAGAGAATTAATCTTCCATTGTTCCATTGCCTCTGCCATCATCTGAGAACAGTAATTCTAGTTTGGTGCTTCCAGTGTTGTAACTTTATTCAATTTGGTTTATAATTATGGATATTAATATTGAGCTTGAACCCAGCAAATTGGAAGGTATTATTATTATTTTTTATCCTATGTCTTTAACAAGCTTACAAAAGTATTTGCTCTTCTTTTTTTTCTTTTTCTTTTTTTTTGTCTTTTCTTTATATTTATATATGAAAGTAAAGGGAAGAATAAAATTTAAAAAGTGATCTATAGAAAGGAAATAATGGAGAGATAGGGATTATGAAAAAGGGGAAAAAAGGGAGTAAAAGAGATAAAAAGAGAGAAAAGAGGAGGGGATAAACTTTTTATTGATAGATTTAAAGAAAGAAATGCACAAATAACACACAAGTCTCATAAACATTCAATGCGAGGACGCTGATAAAATTTAAGGTCCCACATTGATTGGAAGAAGAAAGAGTTCCAGCGAGGACGTTGGACACCGAAGGGCGGTGGATTTAAGGTCCCACATTGATTGGAAGAAGGAAAGAGTTCCAGCGAGGACGTTGGGCACCGAAGAACGGTAGATTGTGATATTCATATCGGTCATCTAAAGTACGAAACACATATTCTCAACACCACCTTGGTTATCTCTGGGTGCTAAGGAAGTCTATTGGGTTCTTTGGGTGGTTAGGCTGCCTATTGCAGACTTTTAATTCCATGGTATTCTATATTGTCTCTTTGAGCCTTTCTTAGTTTGGGACCACTGCGTCTAGACCCCCTGATCACCCCTTGCCATCCTAAAGTCCTCAATCTAGTATACGCATCTTGACCTAAGCCATCATCTAGTCGACATATCACTAATGTTCTAGTCTGATCTCATTGCTTTTATCTACATTCTACAGACAATTTACTAATCTTTCGATACTCACCATAATTTAATTTGAATCAAGGCCTACTAGTGAATGTATGATTTTATGATTTTTATGCCTTAGGTATATTATAGAAATATCTCCCTGATAGACATGTATGAATGAATAGAATATGTTTTATTTGTTTTAGATGATCTATAGGAATATTTTCCTAATAAAAAATGGATGAGAGAATCAAGTTCAGATTAGAACTCCACAACTAGAGTGGCTTACGTGTTAACCTAGATCAGAACGTTCAAGTAGACCTAGCACCCTAGAATCGTAAGTGATGATCAGAGTTTTAGACATGAGTGTACCCAAGGATTGGTTTAGCCCAAGCGGCTAACTCTGAGCATTCTGAAAAACATGAGATATAGACTAAACTACCTAGACACCCCAAAGGACTTAATCAACCTCCACGACATCTAAGTATGATTAAGGAAGCCTATCAGAACTCTAAGGCCACTTGAGTTATTAATGAGTGTAGGATGAAGACAAGGTTGACATCACGATCTCGTTAAACTTGTTCTAAAGAGAAACTAGGGACTACATAGGTAGTTAGCTGGACAAAGACTTTATTAAGTGTAGAGACAAGTCAAGTGTCATGACTCCGTAAATCGATCTTCGAAGAAAATAAATACTACACAGGTAGTTGTCAAGGAAAGTGCTTCTATTGAATATAGAAACGGGTCAAGGTCAAGGACAACGCGGTGATTTCGTAAGTTGGTATTGGAAGAGACTAGGGACTACGAATAGTTGTCAAGGGAGCGCTTGTATTGAGTAGAGGGATGGGTTGAGGCTGACACCGCGATGCCGTAAATCTATCTTGAAAGGGTACAATGGAGAATACAAGTAGATGATGACTCATGATGACAATCTCAAATTCAAAATCTCGAGAATGATAGACCATTCATTTGAAGATGAAAAGCACACTAGAAAACACGTGGGTGAGTATCCATTTTTAATAAGGTGCAAAGACGATTGGTTAGATTTTTGTATGGGTTTGGTTCTTCGGTTTTGGGCTTAACATTTATGAAATCGTTTTTGGGCCCAAACAAGCCCAGTTATGCAAAACATGTGTTGAAATAGTGAAACGTGAAGAGGAGGTTGCTACCACAGCACCACTAACGGCGATATTAAGACTTGATAACTGAGGAGGTGTTGTTATGATTCAATGACCGATGGAGGGGCATTTGTGATGCTACAACCATCGACACTTCTCATACAACATGACGATCAAGTTGTTGCACGATGAACAAAGTTGTTGTATGTAACGACCAATAATGAGGTTAATTAAAAGATTTTGTTTCATAGTTTTTAAAATTAAAAAATTCAAATCTAAAATCATATTTATATTTAGAAGTTGGTTGAGAAAGTAGTTAAAGAAAAGTCAGAAATCCAAGTGGCAGGTTTGAGCTACAGCACAGAAATAAAGAAAGAACAATGCACGTGAATGCTTAGATCATGACACGTGGCATTTGTTTACCGACCATTTTTTAATGTCGGCCAGATCGCGGGGTTGTGTAATAAAAAAGAAACAATAAATAAATATGGGCCCTTCCACCTTCCCAAAACGTCGGCAAACGAATCGTGTCCACGCGGCAAGGTATGAGTGGCCAAAAAATCATCAAACTCTCTTATTTTTAAAAAAATAGTTAAATCAGAGAGTCTCCTAAAATGAAATAATTAAAAAAAAAAAAAAAAAAAGTGTTGAAAGGTATGGTGTATGAGTAGTGGCAGACGCGGTATTGGCGCGTAAACGTATAAGAAAAAGAATCGCAATTATTAAAGCGATATAAAACGTCAATATCAAGGATATTGGATAAGTGAATTTATTCGTTAATAATATTATTTTGTGGTCCAAGGGATTGTGGTTGGGGATCTATAAATACGGCTCCTCCTTCCCATTCATGTCATTGGATCTAGCAAACAAAGAAATCAGAGCATCATGTCAGGGATCATGGAGAAAATAGGCGAGAAGCTCCACATCGGAGGAGACCACAAGGGGGAGCACAAAGGCGACCACCACGAGAAGGACAAGCACGAGCACGAGAAGAAGCACGGCGAGAAGTCGGAGCACCATGGAGAAGGGCACAAGGAAGGCCTGATGGAGAAGATCAAGGACAAGATCCATGGGGGGGGTGATCATCACGATGAGAAGGGTGAGAAGAAGAAGAAGAAGAAGGAGAAGAAGAAGAAGGGCGAGCACCAGGAGGGCGGCCACAGCAGCAGCAGCGACAGCGACAGCGACTGATCTGACCCTCTCTTTCTGCGTCTGTCTGTCTCTCTAGTTTCCTTTCAATAACATCAATATCTAATCTTTGTATTGCGTTTCTCTGCTTTTCTCCGGACTTGTAATATCCACTGCGACTATATTATAATAATAAAGCCTCCTCATCTTTCTAATTTTGCTTTTATCTTCACCAATTCATCTCAGCTCTTTTTTCTTTTTGCATTTTTGAGAAAATTCGTAATTTAGGACTCCAATTTCTGATAAAATAAAGTAAATATATTAGCAGTATTGAGGAGATGATGTAGCTGTGCGAGATTTAAGGTGGGAAATTTAAATCAAGGAGAACCCAAAGCTTTGAGGAAAATTGAGAAACGAACAAAAGTGGCCAGAGTTTTACCCATCCTTCACCATATCTTCTTCTCCCGATTTGACGGAATTTGAAGGGAGATTTCAACAACTCCTCCAGGGCTTTTGTTCATCAAAGAGGGGGCAATACTTTTCTATAACTCTTCTTCTCTTCCATTTATTGGAACCACATCTACAACTTTGATGAGAGAGTCCAACCAATTATGCTACAAGTGAGGAAGAAGCTTCTAAAGTTCAGTGATTGGAACACCAACCTTACCTACACCGGTTATGCTCTATTTTAAAGAATTTGAATTAAAATAGGGGTTTATTTTGCAACAAAATAAACATTCCAAACAAGTAACTAACTATTTGATATTTCCTTTCGTGCCAGGCTTATCGGAGGAGCACACTTGCTAGATATTATGTTTGTAAGACTGAGTTGATACTTTTACTATGATGAGACTTGTTAAACAGTGAAATCATGTACATAGCCACTTTGGTTTAATCCCATTAAGCTTTGCTTTCTGCGTATGCAAGATTATGAATTGTTCATTGATATATAATCAAGTTGAATGTATTAAAGAATATTAAGATATAAATGAGCAATTAGGGACAATTTATAAACTCTAACTAAGCTTCATTGGAAGGGTAAGAAAAGTATGGAATAGGAACGATTACAATAGACAAATAGTGATTGATATAACTTGATAAAAGCATGGATGGATGATTATGAGCATAATGCCTGAATATGTTGATTCATTATCGTTTCCATATGATGTATGATATAAAGTTTATGATACTCAGTGTGCAAATGATTAGGGATCACCAACTAACCCTTATTTGTGAACTAGTCGAGATAAGGACAACAGTCCATAGAAGAATTTGAGATCTCAAGTAGTATATAAAAGTGTAGATCTCGAAGTAATACTTGAGCAGTCCATAGAAGAATTNGAGATCTCAAGTAGTATATAAAAGTGTAGATCTCGAAGTAATACTTGAGATGAGTACTAGATCTTGAGTAGTACTTAAGATGAGTATTGTATGAGAATTATGATCTCTAGTAGGATCGATGAGTACTATAAAGGAGCATTAGTATCCGAAAATAGTCAAACTCTAGGAATACATGATATGAGTATGTTGCTACAAGGAGAATGGAGATAGCTAAGATCTTCTAACTTACTTATAATACTAAAATGTAGTAACTGAGTAATCTAATGACTAGATTATACGATTATATTTATATTTACTTATAATACTAAAATGTAGTAACTGAGTAATCTAATGACTAGATTATACGATTATATTTATATTTACATGTTCGATAGTTTATTCTTAATCATAGACTATTAAAATGGTCTTTCATAGTATATTGTTTGTGTATGATTTCATGATTGAGGAAAATTATGAGTTTAATAGCTTATTTTTAATAATAAAAAAAAATATATTGAGATGGAGTCCAGATACACATTAAATGATGATTGTACTCCAAAGAGATAGAAACATGATGAGCTCTAAAGTGTTATATTTAAAAAGGTAGTTGAAGGACTAGTACCGAGAAAATTAGATGATAAGCTCCAAAAGAGCTATATGATAAAGTTTGAGGAATGAGTTAGGTTTCAAAAAACTAGCCTATGTGAAGAGATAAACTCTCATGAGTTAAATTTATGAGTTACCGAGAGCTCTTTGGAGCTAAACCATGAGAATAGATGAATCGATAAGATGATAATAAACTATGAACTTATAGTACTAGAATCCTAAGTTAGGCCGTTAGTAAAACCTAAATATTTGACTTAGATACTTGGTATTTAAGTATGAAACAAGGTTTAAGAATGATATATTATGTAAGGTACATCGAAGTATATAAGTGAGTTATTTATTGAGTATATTTATATACTTATTCGTGCTACCGTTCTTTCTTATAGATAGAACTGGATGTTGGGATATATTCCCTACGGTTTTATAATCAATTATTTTATTTTAATAATAATTTTAATTATTTTAGTTGCAATTTAATATTATGAATTTTTTTTTAAATTATTAGTACAATCTCGAAGAGTATGTAATTGGCGTATGAAAAAAATCATATCATGTGCAAATAATAATGTAAATGATCTATAAGTATATGAACAAAAACTATTAATATGAAGCATTTTGTGAGTGTCATAAATGATTTGATTCAAATGGGTGAGGTAGAGACATGCGCGAGAGGATATTTATATGATGAGTTGGATATGATTAAACCCCATTACTTTTAATGTAGAGACATGCGCGAGAGGATATTTATATGATGAGTTGGATATGATTAAACCCCATTACTTTTAATCTCTCTTTATAAATTAGAATATTAATATTTCACTAGATCTTATGATATTCGATCTTGATCTTAATCTTGAGGGAGTTATAAATTTTTGCTTGTCAGAGCTTGTTTTTTATATGCATGGGTAAAAATGACTTTTCCAACTGATTCAATATGTCTATCGATTCGGGGACTTGACCAAATAGAGAGCCGTGAAGATAATTTTATAAGATGAAATTCATTCATTCTCATGTATGGTAAATAGATGAGTAGTTCTGTCCAGGATGATTTCAGAACTTAAACAATAGGGTCATACTCTCTCATTAGCTCAAGAGAGACTTAGCTTACAGTTTAGTTGTAAGCAAATTGTCCATTAGATGGTAAATAATACTTGAAGCGTAAGATGTAATTACATGGGTAAAACACAATTTTGACGTAGCTGTAATTACATAATACATAAAGGATCGACTTACAAACTGTTGTATGCGACATATTTTATAAGGCAGAAGAGTATAATTATAAACAAACTTAAAGTCGATATCAGTGTAGGAATGAAGAAGCAAGTATAGACCAGAGTCATGAATAGGCAATAGAGTTTTTGGTGTATATTTCATTACTTATAAATTGATTTTAAGTGTATTTTTCAAATATGTTTGTAGGTAAATTTCTTTAAATTTTAAATAAACATTTCTTGTACGAACCCAAAAAAATACTTTTAAAATTAACAAATTTTCTAATGTCAAAAAATAAACATGTGATTAGATAATAACAACACTTGAATAAAAAGTAAAATAAATAAATAAAACAAGTTAATTAATAAAAAAAAAAAGATAGCCCATTCTATCTCTCCACCGACCTCTCACAACTCTTCTCCGGATGAACATCAACCAACTCCTTTTCAAATACTCACGACTGTTCTTCTAAAATAATTTAATTAACTCCTCCTCAGATCACTTCTATTAGTAATTCCAGCAAAGAAACAGCATGCACTTTAAGGAGAGTATCATTTGTAATAGGTCAGTTTAGTCCTATTTAAAATTTTTCACTATTTATACAAAGTGTTTAAGGTCCGCATGAAGTCTAACAAAGGGTTGTTGTAAAATTTTGTTAGGCTCCTATGGTTACTTGGATTTCAAAGAATAAAATCAAACTTTTATTAAGGATAAATTGGTTACACCATCTTTATAACTCTAAAAAGAAAAAATGTCGAAGTCAGATGGGCAAAATGGGCATTTTTCTCCTCAGCCCATTATAAAGGTCTTGGGATTTCTCGATCGAGTACCTGCAAAAGAGAAAAGTATGAGAAAGAAAGTTGAGAGAAAACTTGAGAGGGAAAAGTAAATCGCTAGTGTTCTCGTCGGAGAATCACCAACGAAATTCATCCTCTACCGAGACTTACACTCTGGAGCAAGGTAAGATCTTGAACTTTACTCTTTAGATCTGAGATATTTGTTTGGGAATAGAGTGTTAAAGTTTACTATCTTCATCTAGGGAAGATCCACCACTGATTTTGTGAGGAAATCGGACGAAACGTTGAGATCTAAGAATCTTTCCAAGAACGGTAAGAATGTTATCAGACCTCTTTCCGAAACTCATAACTCATCGTATGATTAAGTAAAAATCAAGAAAAAAAAATATTGGCACGTAAGTTGTAGTATGATCTAAAACTTTGTTGAAGAAATCATTACGGTTTGGATTAAGAATCGAGAGATAGAAAAATGAGAAGAACGTTGGAAAACGAATTGGAAACCTCGTTTTTCTGCTAGGAGGAGAGAGAAGGCGACAACGCGCCACATGTCAATCGACAAGCAGTTCGCGTGTGCCAATAACCACCGGACACGCGTTGAACGCCGCCTAGGGAGACGCGGCTCCAACCTTCCAGCGACATGCGTCCACGGCCTAGCAACCCGACCCGTGTTCCTCAACTGACTCGGTATCCGTGCGACGAAACGAACCGCGGTCCACCTAAACCACTGCACTTGAACTGGACCGATGAACCGCAGTTGTAGAAAAACATGTGCGCGTGACACTCGCGTGTGGAACTTGCGAGTGAGCTTGTTCTAGTGCGTGGCTGGCCCATGGAAGCACGTGTAAGCCCGTTTTGTCCCGTTCGACTTATGTTTTCCCTATTTTCCTCCCGAATCCAATCATAACCCTATTTTATATGAAATAGGATCTAATTGAGGAAAAATCAGTCCTTTTTGATACGCTAATTGTGTGAAAATGCTACATAAGGGTACGCATCATCCAGGTAAGTCACCATTGATAGTGTTGTTATAACACATGCGGAAGCAATTTTGATCTTAGGCACTCTAAGTACATCAATTATAGTAAATTAGCTAGCATGTTCATAAGCATTAAAACTCAAGGAGTTTGAGTACTAACCTTTTGTAGTTCAGATTCATTTTTTTTCACGAACCGATTTCGAACCACCACTAGTGTCTTCTCTACTATTCTCTGGCCTTAGAACAGAATTGTGGAATCCGGTGAGTGACAAAACATGGAAGGGATGTAGTATATGTGAAAGAGAGA